GACAGTAGGACCTTCAACGGTCACACCTTCGATTGGAGTACCTCCAACCGCCTCACCCTCAACAGTACAACCTTCAACAACATCGCCACCTTGTGAACTGGTTTGTGAAAATGGCGGAACTTTGAACTCCAATGACTGCGCGTGCACATGCGCGAGTGGCTACCAAGGAACCACTTGCCAGTGTAAGTAGTCTCATACAGGTCTCGTCTGACGCATGGCTTTATGAACGGGGTGGGGCGGCAACTTCTGCCAAATAACAGCAAAACACTGGGCGGCTAGCTTAGTATTGTGTTCAATAATTATTGATTTAACCCAGTATTTAAAAATGTTCAAAATGACCAACAATTTACATTTCCCCTCATTTCTGCAGCTATCACGGCCCAAACACAATTTATCGTTCTGTTCCGCTTGCGGCACAATATTGCGAGTGTGAGTATGATTTCTACAGCCTTTGCTAACAACAGATTGCAACAGGGCTTAGAACCTTTTCCTATTTAATACCTGCTTCATTAGGTTCATTCATTTATCAACAATGATTAATTTTGTGCAGAAATCATTGATGAGAAAAGCAATGCATGTACAAGAACTCGTTCCCAGTTCTCGCATAATATCAGTTTCTGTGCTAATTTTCAAAATTTCAGTTCAGTAGAATAAGAACTGCACTACTGAGAAGTGTAGCTGGGGTATTGAATGTATTCTGCGCCTCGAGAGACAACTACCAAAGGTGTTGCCCTAACGACGTGTTGCGTCTAACGACAGGCAGGTAAAAAAAAGCCGTGGCTTCCGTCAAATGAACACACACAATAAAATGTGGCGAAACACAAACAACATTGTCACCTGAACATGAATATTTATGAACATTATACAAACAAAACAATAAACTTGTAGGAGATGACTTAAAATATTCCTTATCAGGAAAAATAATAAACGCTTGATACTTGGAACCTATCCAGCATTTTCTGGGAAAGCTTTGAAAATACTTAAACTTTTAGGCAAAATGTCAATTTCCAAATTCTAAAAAAAGCATTTGTTGGGGCTTAGGTGAGGTAACATGAAGCACTATTATGGATGGATTGTGGAGTAGTTGCATGATTAGGGGAATTATGATGACCTTAAACACTGGTCAGGTGTATTTCAAACCTTCAAGGGGGGGTGCACACATCCCCGTTACACCAATGATGTAAACTGTGATATGTGGAAGGAGGTTACCAATTCATCGTACGCGCGAGTCACTGTATCTGTTTATTCCTAAACCCTTTTCAGTGAGCAACTTCCCAACTTCATCGATGAGGGTAACGTGTTTCTAGCTGCTGGCTACCCAAATCCAGTGACCAGTGAGGTGTATGAAGTGGGCGTGGTCGTCTTAGGAGTGCAGTCACCCCTCTGTACGGCACTACGCATAGGACAGCGAAAAAGGCGAAGTGCTACAGACGGATCCCAAGAACGCATCAGGATCAAGCGCCAATCAGGTACGAAATATTGAGGTCAGATGAATATGAAATTTTCCCGTAGTCTAGGAAATGCAAGGTGAAGCCGAACGCTTATAGGCCCAAGAATGAATCCAAGGTTTGCTAATTGAACTGCAAATTTCTGAAAGTTTATGCTTCGTGCTAAGTGCCTCTGTGAAATGGATTTCTGATGAAACTGTTGCTAAATCTATTCCAATCCTTCCCTTTTACATCTTTTGGATCCCGCAGACAACTTTTTGGATCCAGACTTGGTGAACGACGCGATAACTGCATCCCTCGATGACATCAGGCAACAGCTCAGTGCTGTCGACAATACCGTCGACCTGCTGTCGGTTGAACCTGCCGACCCCAACCCTACAGAATCACCGGCGACCACCTCGACGACCACCTCGACGCCCACCTCGACGCCCACCTCCACCAATTACATCATCATCATTGTAGTCGTAGGCGTTGTGGCACTGCTTATCATTTTGTCCATTGTCGGTCTCGGTTGTTTGGTGATGTTCAGACACGGAATGGCACGGCAGTACAAAATACGGCCCCGCTACAGCTACGAGGACCGACCACGCAACGTGCATAATCGCGCGCTCGATTTCAACTACGACCCTACATACAACCGGGCAGGCTACGAGTATCCTCACACCAACCCTTACGTGCGCAAGCCCATAATCGACAATGGCTACGCTCTCCCGGCCACGTACGAGCAACGACTATGGCGCCCCCGATCAAATATCCTCACTTCCAATGAACCCCCTCGAATGCCCGATGACTACTTCATATATTAGGCCTGCTTAGGGGAAAATTCTTGAATTGGTATAATTTGCTACTTCGTAAGAATCTCGATGTTGGGTTTTAAGCTAATAGATTGAATCTACTAGATTAAACGGTTGCATAATTCTTTCTTCACTTTTTTTCTTATTGGAATGTGATTTTATTAGTAATAAATTATGTCAAATATATCAATGGTCCTCCGTAATACAAGTACGTATCTTATTCGTGGTTGCAATAAATACTCAGCTGTAGTGGTTTTGGGATTTGGGTTAATGGTGGTCACAGAATCCTTGGACCGAACTTTCTGAAGTCAGATATTCTGGGTTTTTTTTCTAAGATAAATTCTTATGTGTACTGTTTTAAGGTAATTAAACAAATTGTAATTATAACTAAAAATATGTTATTTTTTTAAGAGATTGCTACTTTAGGATGATGCTGGTCTCACATGAGACAGGGTGAGTGGATGTCTTCTTTAAAAGAAGTGATCGGTTAAAGGTTCCATTTTTTGGGTACAATTTTCATGTTGATCTGTTTTAAAAGATATGATTTAAATATCCTTCACAAGGTTGCAGTAAAAGAAAGATATTGAAACATTTTAACTGGGACCCAAGATTTTGATTCCTGTGTAACATTCCAATGTTGGTGAGGCGGTAGAGTTGACTTGGGCCAAGAAAAGTTTGCCCGAGCCAAACCACACTGGAGGTCTCATCTAAGACTGCATTTTCAGTGCGTATTTCAACGGCATTATGATCACTACTTAAAAACAGTATTCGAGTCCATCGTAAGTCCATTTACATGTCCCTTCGCAAGTCCGGCCACAAGTCCCTTCGCAAGGCCAGTCACAAGTCCCTTCGCAAGGCCAGTCACAAGTCCCTTCGCAAGGCCAGTCATAAGTGACAGGGTGAACAATGACAAAAGAATGCTTTTGTCAGAGTTCACTTGAATAGCTTGTCAACTGGCTCAAGACTGAATGACTTATGATGGACTTACAGGGACTTGTGATGGACTCGAATAAAACACTGCTTAAAAATAAAACTTGTACTGAAATCAAGAGAGGAGATCATGACAAAAACATGTAAAATAACACTGCGGGAATGCTGAAGCGACTGCACAGTGGGACACCGTCAACGATAAAATCCGTTAGCTGCCATGCACGTGGTTTAATTGCAATTTTCCCATTCTGAAGTGCTTAATTACACTGCTATTAGTCCATAAACTGCAGACGTTGGAACTGGACAGTCTCATTGCATTACGACAACATACATGTAATAATACATCCTGTGATGAAAATGTCCATGTTTAGTCCTCCGCAACACAATTCTCTCACGCTACTGCTATCCCAATTTCGTCCAAGAAAGTAATTTCAATGCACTCAAGTTGAAGTACCCATGTCTGAAAAATATAGTGTAATACTGCAACTCTCACCAATCGAACTAAACAAATCTCTACATATTTTCTCTTCTAAACACAAACAGAAATGGTTCAATAATTTTTAATTTTTATAAATTAAAACGTCTCATTTTGGCACCAGTACACAGTTCAAGCTAGAAAATAACGACAAAAATGTAAACTTTTGTAAAATGTCCCTTCTCTACCATATTCTAAGTTCACATCCTATTTAAAGTGCAGACCTTTACATCTGCACACCTTATTCCAAAACGGCATCAGATCTGTCAGAATCTTTTTGATGTCCTGCACTGGCATCCGTAGTATTGGAATCCTATGAGCCTAACAAAGTCACAATCATGGCATCTGCTAAGCTTTCAGAGTGTCCTTAATGGTAAGGAAAACCAATGCTGGCCATTGAAAAGATTTGAAATCACTGACACCATCTTGGAAAAGAAAAACAACTGAGGTGAAACCAAATTTGAAAATAGGGGCTTCCAGTCTACAAGTTTTGCGGGTCTACAAGTGCACAGCAATCCACTGACACAGTTTCTCCTTGACGAGTTACCCCCTGCGAAGTCAGATTTACTCTTATAAAGATAGCACTGCACGTTAGCAAACAGTAGAGCAAGCTGGTCAAGAGATGGTGATGTTTCCAAGCGTAAAGTGGCTCAACAATGACCCCAAAACACCGCTCCCTTTCAAGCAGGCCGAATAGACACTGCCATTAAGCCTCTTCGATGCATATAATTATCACTTGTACTTTAAACTAGGAGCGAAGTTCAGAATGAATGTTTGACACATTGCAAGTACTTTGGGGAGAATTTTTAATGTAGATAAGCGAGCTGTATAGGATACTTGTTGTAAATGCATTTTTAAGTGTTGTGGTGGAGACTATCAGAAGACCAGTCACAGGACCAGACACAAGATCCATCACAAGACCAGTCCCAAGATCAATCACAAGACCAGTCACAAGATCAATCACAGGACCAGTCACAGGACCAGACACAAGATCCATCACAAGACCAGTCCCAAGATCAATCACAAGACCAGTCACAAAAGCAGTCACAAGACCAGTCACAACAAGATTAGTCACAAGTAACAAGGTCAACAGTGACAGAGGAATGCTTTTGTCGCAGTTCAACTGAATAGCTTGTGACTTGAATTCAGACTGGAGGTCTTGTGCTGCTCCTGTGTTGGTCTTGTGTTGGTCTCGAGTTGGTCTCGAGTTGGTCTTGTGTTGGTCCTGTGTTGGTCCTGTGTTGGTCCTGTGTTGGTCCTGTGTTGGTCTTGTGTTGGCCCTGTGTTGGTCTTGTGTTGGTCTTGTGATGTTCTTAAGAGGTTTCAACTACAACACTGACTGTTTTCTTTGCAGCATAATTTTCTACAGTACAATTAAGGATCTATGAGTCCTTCACAAACATCAATGAATTTTGTGTTCATGGTAATGTACATGCACTTTTTTGGCATGCTTATAGATGAAAATTTGAGGAAGCTTAATAAACTAAATATGACTGGGTAGGCTGACGCTTTAATGCATTAATGGCATGGAGCGCTACCAGTGTCGAATGGCTGATTTACAAGATAAAAAGTTAGAGCCATGTCTCTCATTAAGCTCTGATTCCAATGCTGCCTACACAACTTATGATCGTGGATTAACGGAATTTATTAAGCCTCACTGGAGGAAATTCTCCAACTGCCCCCGTGCCCAACTTGGAGACAGCCTAAATCTTCTGAATATCCTCGACGATTCATGTTATTATCCTGAGGCAGGGCTGAGAATGATATCCTGGTGCATTGTGGATGATTTCAAGTATAGTTTGGACCTACATTTGCCCACGGCTGAGCGTGAACAATTTTCACCAAGGCCAAAAAAAGTCTTTGGCTTCTGGCCAGTAGCTGGCTCCAAAAGTACCGAGGGGATGTGGCTTTTTGTGGTTTTGTACCCTCACTTTTTTTTCTGGAAATGATGTACAAAAACACATGACGTCCATCGCGGCTGCATGCGCACGTAACTCCGGCCGCTACCCACACTAAAATAAATTGGCCCCACACGTTTACTGTTTAAAAGCATTTTCAGCTTGTACATGTACACAGGACATAAGACCACCTTGTTTGTCTGGTTCCCAGATGTAAATGTATAATACAGAAATGACGTTATCAAAAAAAAAAGGACCCAACTAAGGGGCTGTCCATAATTTACATAACTTTTACAAAAAGTAGACTTTTCACTACCCCCCCTCCAAACTGTACATCAGCGGGCAAAAAATAATGCTGGATGGAGAGCTCCACTGGTCAAATCCCCTATTGTCGAGGCACAGTGATAAACATGTAAAGTATTGTGGTTAACAGAAAAGTAAATTTCAAACAAAACGTTGTTTAAAACACCTGAAAAGTCAAGGCTTTAGAAGCAGTGAATAATGATGCCAGTAGAGGATAGAACAGAACTTGCATACGTGGTACAAAGGAAGCGGCGCTAGCTAGCTAGCAACACCTGTGAAATCTGAAAGTGACTGCCGATATGCATATTAACGGATCACCACTTTTGTTATTGAGAAAAAGCATATGTGAGGTTTTAACCCCTCCCCCTGGAGGCTTGTACACTCGTGAAAATGATGAAAATAACGGACGGCCCCTAAATGTATGGGGAACTACCTGTACAGTGACTCGCTCCTGTACTGTTCGTATTTCTCAACCGTACCTCCATCAAAAACACGTTAAAATGACACAGTAGCAGGATTCCAGTCGATCAGCCAAGTTTGGCAGCTTTTGGACATTGTATAACCCTACCAGTCCTCAATCCTTCACCTGTTGCAGGATTGAGGACTGTTAGAGTTAAAACCAAATAAAAAACTTCTTTATTTTGACAATGCGCCGGTCTACAGCCACGCGCGCGCTGACCAGAAACCGGAGACTTTCTTTGGCCTCATGCAAGGATTTTGGAGAATTTGTGGTTGGCTTATAAAATAAACTGAAAATTCAGCACCAAACCGATTGCAAGTTCTTCAGTGACTCTATCTAGCTGACAAATCAGATTATAGTAGGTGAATGAATAACATGCTAAACCAGTAAGCATTCCTGTCCGATGTACATGACAGAAAATCCCATTAAAGTTACCTGAAGCCCCCCAAAAGTAAGATTAGCAAGGGAAAAATGCATCTTTACATAGCATGCAACCAGTACTTAAAACGGCTTTGTGTTAACGCATTATTAAAAAAATAAATAGACTTTTTGGCAAATTTTTAAGCATATGCTAACGTCAAAAGCATTTAGCTCAATTTCTATTGCTCAATGACTGGTTTTGACACTTCTATAAATGTCTGTCTGACAGTTCGCCAGCAGATAAGGAACAAACGTTTTAAAATGACAGTGAAATAAGGTATTTTGAAAGAAACCTCTTCCAACAAATTTACACTCCACATTCTGCAAAGCAACGAAGCAAAGTGCAGCTTCACTGTTCACCTTGGTCTCAGACCTTCCTCAGAGTCTGAATTTGGTTGGTGAGTCCAAGTTCCACGTAATGAGTTACCAGGTGCAGAAAACCCTGCTCGAGAACAACTGACCAACAGTAGGACAAATTTTACTTCCAGTAATGCAGAGCACAATACAGTAGCATTGTCAACTTTCTGTGAGAATTCTGAATGTACAGTCAACGTACCTTTGGCTCGCAAATGGCAAACATTTCCACAGAGTCTGCTAACCTTCTATATTGTATGTTGTGCCTTCTTCGAGTGCACTTGCAAAACAGGGAAACAAGTGTTTAAAAACTGACCTTAAGAGTAAGATAAACATTTTTGAAGATAGAGCGGAAAAACGAGAAAGGTGCCTACACATTTCTTTCGTGGTAATTCCCCCCAAAAGCAGAATCACAACAATAGGGTCATGCTTAGTCGTATTCCCTAAACAGGGAAAGGGTCACTTTAAAACTTACATGCTGCTGTGAAAGTGGCGGGAAGGAAGGAACAGCGAGGATTGGGGGAGGGGGGGTCAGACAGAGGAGCAAGGATCAGAAGGTAGAGCCCTCCGGAGGCTGGCGTAGTTTAGCGTTGCGTTTCATTAAGTTAAGGAGCTCGTTGAGAATATCCTTGATGGTGTATTTGGTGTTCCAATGTTGCAGTAAGGGAAATGTTCTCTCAAGCTGTAAGGAATGGGGAAAAAAGGCATACTAAAATGCTGAGTTATTGACTCCACACCTGCACTCACGAGGGCGCTATAAGGGTGACTGAAGGATACTTCATTATAGTCTGGTTGCAAAGATAACGTGGTGATGAGTAACACTTCAGTTTGAGAACCAATGAAGGTCTAGGTGAATCTGGCACCCTGACTGCCCAAAATGCGACTCCGGAGCTCTTGAGCTCACAAAGTCCTAAAATATGAAGGCTGCTCCAAGAAGATTCCCCAAACAAAAATGACTGGGATGTATGGGCTTTGAAGTGCTGACATTGACAACAACGAGTGTGAGTTTTCTTGAGAACAGTCAGATATCAAGTTGAGCGCCAACAACAAAGTGTTGACGAGAAGCCTTACCGTGCCGTCCCGATCGTTGACGTGGGGCAGATTGATCCTTGTGACAAAGCGGATTGTGGGTGGCTTGTTGGGATACTGGCTGTCACACTTCAGCTTGAGCATGTAGATGCGTTCTCGGAAATGAGTCTGTGGGAAGAGTTGGGATCACAGCAAGTCTGAATATCAACGGGCATTGTCGGCTAAACTAATCAGTCGCAGTGCTTCAGATCTAGGTATGGTCATGTACTAAATATAAGACAAATTTGACACAAATCTTGAAATATATACCACTGTTTCCAGTGTACAACCCTCACCAATCTTTTTCTGTACTTTTTAACCTCCTGGATCCTTCCAAATCTATCAAGAAGTTTAGATTTTGTAGGATTGTGGAAAGTCTAGCTCCCCCCCTACTTTTCTGCCCGATGTTCATGAGCCAAGATCTCAGTTGAGAATCACTAAGAGTGTGTGATTGGTTTCCGCGGAGAAACCTTAGGAAGGCTGGGCTAGGATCGATGATGGAAGACGGAGACTACCTCTGCTGGACCAACGATGGTTCCGTTCCAATACGTGAACGTGTTGTCGTTGTCACTCTCTAGGCCCCAGCTGACATTGGGCTGCCCGCCCTTCTGCCCCTCCTCCAGCTCTTCCAGGAGTTTGAAGTTGCGGGGAACGACGACTGGAGCTGAGGCTAACAAAGAGATGCAGGGATCATGAACACGCAATTAACTTTGGGCGTGCTTGTTCACGCTTGAAATTAAGCACTTAGAGAAAGTACAACAGTTGGGCCTAGGTGTGATCGGTTGATCCTGTATGGCATATCTCTGACTTAAATTCCCTTTTTTGAAACAATGTTACACATCTGGGAATTTGAAGGAAAATCTAATAGGCCTTTTGTGTTTTAAATAGCTCCTCAGTGTCAAAAGTCAACAAAATTAAAACTTCACATTCTCAGACTTAGGCCTAATGCATAACACGAATGAGTAACCTTCTTAGTCATGTCAGTAAACTTTGCTCCAAATAACTTAAATTCTTATGTTGAAACTTCAAGTACTTGAAAATTTACGGGGGAAAAATAGCAGGAAAGAGTTCCATGCAGAAAACACCATTTTTCCCTTTAAGCCTATGTCCTAAGTAAAAGATGAAATTTAGCTGAGAAAATCCCTAAGCATTTATTCAGGATTTAACACTAACTGACTTAGGGCCTACACTAATTTAGGTTTTTTCAGACAAGGTCTGTGCACAGGGGCATCAAGTGTTGTCCAAAAATCACGTATATGGAACTCTTTCCAAGTGGGAAAATTGTGTTCAATACAGGACACAACAGGCACGACATACAAAATCAAATGTCATAACCATATCGTTTTGGCTTAGCCTATTCCTAATAAGTAATATTCGATTCCACATGGTCACGATGGTGGGGCATATCGATAAATAAGGTAGGTCTATACTTACACATCATGATTAGAACCTGCTTGTACGTGTTTCGTATCAAAGCAGTCCCAAAATATTGCCAAATGAAGTGGCAGGATATTAAGATTTTTTCAGCCTTCAATATGCCATGCGCAAAACCACAAACACAGCCCCGATAAACGTAACTGACAGACTTGGCTTCATAAAAATCAATTGCGCCCTCATTTGTTCATATGCACCTGGCCGAATTGAGGGCGCTTTAAAAGTGTCAGTCAAAGACTACTATAAATATCTTCAAAAGACATCAGTTAATGAATGAAGATTTGAAAAGAAAGAAAAAAGGAACCAGCTTATGGGCTTTAAATTGATGTGCGTCTCGAACGCCTGAGAAACTCGTTTTTTTCCCCTTGATTTTTGAAGTTCAGGTATTTATCTCTGTTGGCTATGGCAGTATATTTACTTGCTTGCAACCTTTATGGTTACACTTGATTTAACCATGGAGGTGCTAACTCCTTCTTTTCCTACCTCCATGATTTAACCAAAGGCCCTATACAAGTAGCTTCTGCCTTCAAAAAATGGTCTCCATAATCTTATACGTTCTTTGCTCTCAGTTATCACATCACCGTCCGAAACGGGCCGCTGGGAAATGCTGATGGCTTTGCACTGTGATTGGCGACACAAAATCACCGATCACGTATCTTTGGGCGACACATTTCAAATCATTAATCTATTTTGGATGAACAAATGAAGTGCAGTGACAACATTTTCAGAAATGGTAGGACAAAAATATCGAATTGATAACCGCCGCTTGTGTAACGCACTGAGCAAACTCGCGCTTGTGGCGGCAATTTACCCACAATGCTCGTCACGTTTTTAGCTGTGAACCCGCTTGACGCACTTCCTTCACTAAAATCTGTACATGGCCATCAGCCGAGCGAACGAGACCATCGAATGAGTTGTCCGGACAAAGGCCTCTCCACCGGGCAACATCTTGGTGGCGCACCGCATTGTGAATCGCCCATAATTGATGCCCCTTATTACGTCAACTCAATCCAAACGAATAGTCATTATCCAACGGAATTTTGTTCATAATTTTTTAGAGGGGCTACATGTTTGGTACAACATTGCAAAACTTAAAATATTTACAAGTGCTTCAGTGACATCTCTTTGGCGCTCCAAATTCTTTAACATAAACCGGTGATACAATAAATTAACAAAACAATGAAGGCAACGACACGAAGACTGTTCCTTCTTGAGCTACAACAGTATACATTTTATTTAAGCAGCAGTCATCATAACTCAAGTGTGCCAATGTTACAGATAACAGCATGAATCAATCAGAGATCAGATATTCAAGCGTCTCTGCAAGCGTGAGGGGAGCACGGGAAAAAGTTTGACGATTACTCGAGACTAGACTAACAAGATAAGTCTTGATTAATACAAATGTCTTCTCTCTAGGACCGTTCTATCAAAATCATTCCATAGCGATGGATTACCGACGGAAGTTTCAATGCAAAGAATCGCAACTCAAACTCTTCTTCAATTCCCATTAAATGTGTTGTTTCTATGGGCAGTGTGTCTCGCGAGGAAGTGATTCTGAATGTTAAACTGCCTCTTTGTGAACTTTCCTCCTGTGCCCACAGCATTTCAGACAATTCTTAAATTCAGTTGCGACTTCCAAACACCTGCATCATGAAAGGAGACAAAAACGATACAAGCAGTCCTGTAATTACAAGTAACCAACAAGGCAATATTCACAATATGCCGCTGGGAACCAGTTTTTCCTCAACTAGCTTGGAACTCAGTACAGAATACCAATCAGTCACAGCATTCCGACTGGCAAAGTACGTGATGTCATCACAACTTCCCTGTCCCAACAATCTGTCTAGTCACGGTGGACATCGTTTATTTTCGGCTCGTACGGGGTTTGCGTCGATTCAAGCAACCTCGTGTCCGAGGTGTGGACTGAGGATTGCTCCCTGCATTCAGCAACCACAGTTTAATCCCACTGATTGGGGAACATTAAAACTTACCATCGTGTACGAGGACTGACAATTCTTGAGATCAGGCTCCTGCGGAACACAAGACAACACAGGATTGCAGTTAGCGACTCCTCACTGTGCTTAAGGACTGCTGAACTGCCGTACGAGGAAAACGGCGCCCTTACTGTTTTTGTTGCACAAATCTCTGGCTGGCTTGTCTGTATATATTGGTTTGTATTCCGCCAAATGGGCTTTGCTCACCTGCCAATGGCTGCTTACGCATTCAGGTTGTACATTTGACTTTAGATCAGCCTTTTCAACAAATTCCTGGGGTTGGGCAATATTTGGAAGTAAAACCACAATCCTCGTCGGTTTATTTTCACCAACGCAAGCAACGGAACAAGTTTGCAAGATGTCATATTTTGTCGTGGCCAATAGAGAGCACTTCCAACCACTTTCATAAGCCAGGGTGGAGTCGGCACAACTCAGAATAACCAATCACTCACAGATCTCAGACTGGGGCGGTAAGTTCCTCATCACAGTCGTGTCTTTCCACCCCAACAGTGCCAACCCTCACAATTCCGTGGACCGTTCTATGCATAACATGTCTTTCACTGGCTCTCGAGGGCATCAAACCACAAACCAGCACAAAATGTGACACTGACAAGAAACGCTTTCTCTCTTCGACTTACCGTCTTGAACAAAGATGCCAGTCACCCATTGTCTGCAGCGCGTCCTGGAAGCGAACAATAAAATGGGGAGTTGACTTCAATTAAATAAAAGATGCGGCAAAACTAAAAAAATTTTTTTGAGTTTTAACCCTGGAATGAGTTCCTAAAATAGATCTGCCCATAACACAGTTTTTCTTGTATAGTCTCACACAGTTCTAAACACAAGTTATAATGGACAATAAATAATACCCACAATGCTTGGCTTGAATGCTCTACATGTGGCCGTATATAAGGGCTAAAGGGCAGTCACATCAGATCAAGTCTTCATCAGGGTGTTCAGAACAGGTCTGTAAAAAGTTGTCATCATTTGTCTGCCTCTCCGCCCAAGTTCAACGTCTTGTTTGGCGCAAAAGGTTAACCCACTGTCACCCCCTGCCAAAATCTCACATGCATGCTTCAGCCTCAGTCCTTGCTTTGTGTAAATTTTCGGTGGTCAGCCAAAACTTCGAGACGGAGCAACGTTGAAGAGTGCATCAGGAGACACAAGTGGGTATTCATTTTGCCTGTCAATTCCTAGGAGTTCAAGGTAAACTGTGCCATACTATGTGGCAGATACTGAGAGTTGACATAATAAACTTTATCGAATGGAGAGTGACTGAAGCACCATGGAACCAAAAAATCCATTCGAGAGATAGCGATGGTAGATACAGATGGCAACATACCGGCAGATTTAGAAGGGCTTTCCGGGGTGTTTAAGGTGACGCTTGCATCCTGCTACCTTGAAGCATCTGCATCTTAACTGGGGAACGAGAAAAGAAAGAAAATTAACGAGAGACGAAAACCAGAGGCGGGTGATATCGTTACCTGTTACAATATATCAAAGTTGGTAGGAAGACAAATGCGATTGGCTCGAGGCAAATACAGAGTTGAAAAATACCTGAATTTGAAGAGTTTATTGTAGAATTGGCGTACACTTGTTCTCCCCTTTCAAACTGAGGTTTTTTAGCCGGAGCTCAGAAGCTTTGATGGGAATCTAATCACGTCAGATCATACGAACGAGACTGTCACGTTCATCCTTGCTCCAAGAAGCATGAAAGAATTCGTTCAAAACCCTGGCAAGATATTCTAATAGTGACCTTCAAGTATACCTGGACACCTGCATGAGCAGAGATGTTCAGCTGAATCTAAAGACAGGAAAAAAACAACTCATGCCGTCCCTCCGCGAATCGTTGCAATTTTTCTGGAAAAATGACTGTTCCTGAAAAAAAAAAGAGAAAAATAGAAATTTAATCTCCAATTTTTTTAAAACTTGTGGACAATTAATTTCCAACAATCCCAACGATCAAGAAAAAATTCATCAGCATGATTTAAAATGCTCATTCAAGCAAAAAAAAAAAAGGGGCCTCCAATCTCTCTTGCACGTGTCTAAACGCTCATTAAATTTATCACCACCACTCACAAACGGTTATCAGCACCAAGGCAAATGTAGTTCAAACTTGCTGCCTCAAATCTCTGGTGTCGGTATTTTGTCTGTACCTCAGAACTTGTTCTCAATAATGGAAATATATACATGTGCATGTATCGTTTTTCTTTCACACAGAATATGACTGCCCAGCATTTATGTCTTTGTATGTTCCTGTGCGACTCAAAGTCAGTAACTGGTCGGGTACAAAACGGACCACTTATACGAGCACGTCCTCCTGTCATGGGCAATCCCAACGACTATCTAGGATTCTCTGTACGGCCCTTAATTGAGAGCTACTTCTTGTTCTAGGAACGACATGACAACCTTGATATTGTGAAACGGCCTCAGATTAGAGATCATCCACAGCACGTGGTCAGATATATGCTTGTCAAATTTTGTTCATCACAGGCCAGATCACAATCACGAGTACAGCGTGGACAAGTACAGTGAAAACAGGGCTTAAATCGAGTCCATCTCGAGTCCAGTCGCAAGCCCACACTGGAGGGACACTGGCAAAGGAATGCTCCTGTAAAGGTCCGTTTGGCAAAGACTTAGCCTTGATTAAAGACTAGATGATGTGCCGTGGACTTGGTGACTTGTGATGGACTTAACTCCAGCCCAACCAGATGCTGCCTCTTCAATCTTCTAAGACTTGCGACACAAGATGCTGGTCCTTTTCATCTATTTTACCTGAACTGCATCGGCCAAGCAGCTTTGGATGCCACGTCAGTGGTGAAATCCCCCCTCCCCCCGTGGTCTCTGGCAAGCATGTAAACGATGAAAGCTGTGAACAAGCCTTCTGCTGCTGGTTGAAATCAGAAAGAATATGCACCCCCATGCCTTACATCTTGTGTCTCTGCAGAAAAAAATCAACCAAATTTACAGTGAGTGCAAATCACTGAGGAGATGTACATGATTGAATAGAGGCCTTGCGTGGTAGCCATCTTGCAGGGCAGTTCTTTGGTTCCACAGGGAAACCTCCTTTGTGCATACCCTGTGGAACGAAAGCACTGCCCTGCAAGATGGCAGCCATGAAAACCATCCACAGGCCCTCTGTAACGACGTCACACTTTGCAAGTGCGCTCTCCTAATGGGAGCCGGAAAGCAAACCTTGAATCCAGCTCCATCAAAAAGTGATTATGTAAACAAAAATGCCTCGTCATCAAACAAACCCCAAATGGTACCACTCAGATGAAGGTTAGCTGTTCTGGATATCCTCACAGTCCACTTGGGACATCGGAATTTGGATAGGAGACAATAATCATCACCGTGGTACGCATGAATTTCCCCCCACAGCCTAACGTCAGTTTCGGAACATTACTTAGGGGCCATCCATTTCTTCATCATTTTCTGGACGGTTCAAACCCTGGTCTGGGGGAGGGTGGTGGGGGGGCTGTGCACTTTTCAAAAATACATTTAATTGACTCGCGAATGAGATTAATTAGAAAATAACATTGACAACAATGGACATTATCAGCACAGAGATCATCAGTTTTCCTTTTTCAGTTTGTCTTCACTTTGAGGGTAAGGGGTCCAGAGAAAGAGCATTGGAGAGAAATTGATTTAAAAAAACCAGCCCCCATGCAGGGAATGCACAACTGCTAGAGACGAATGGTGTATGGCAAAAAGAACTCACCAATTCTGAATTCAGTGGGTAGATATGTAGATCTTTGGTGCAGGTTCACTTTCTCCCAATTCATGCAGGTAAAAATAACGGACAAAGTCCGGAGGTCTGACGAGCGAAAAAAAAAAAAAGCACACTAAACATACTTGTTTTCGGTTTGCTGGCTATGTACACATCACTGTGGCCTGCTCCTGCCGCTCTCCGAGAAGTCTCAGAGGTTAAAGTGTCCATCAGATATTTTAACCAGGATAAACAGAATGCCTTTTGGTTACACTGCTCTACGAGCTCAAAGCGGCGAGCATGGTATCATCACTTGGACACAGGCCGACAGCAGAATTTGAAAAATCGGCTCTTGTTAAGTATACTCACACCGTGGTTTCATTCGGCTGAGCACTGTGCCAGACAAGCGGTCAATGAGGAACCTCGCACTTCCTGAAGCCAAAGGAAAGGAAGGGAAGACTCGGCGACTGAAACAACTTTTTCAACGATCAATTACGCAACATCAAGATTGTCATGATAATGCAGGGCTTTGTGTCCGTCAGATAGCACTAACCAGAATAAAAAGCGAACTTTGCTCTGCGGTTTCAGGGCTCGGAAAGCTCAAAGCGGCGAGCATGAAATCATCATCAGACACACTTTGGCCCTCAAAACAACCTGTGAACACGTGAAACGCAAAATTCCGAGATCAGGGTTTAAATATAATCTTCATCTCGGTATTCTGCGCCAAATGAAGTTATCGAAATGAAAATGTTTACCTCATGTCGGATGGAGTGACGGTCTCTCGCCATCAGAGAGGCACTAGTGAAGATGCTGCAAGAAAAAATTGCAAGTCACAGGTCAAGAGGTAACAAATCTTGTGAAATTCAATACATTACGAATTCGGGAACATTTCAATAATACTCATATCTTTTATGTGAAACTGAACTTCAGAGCACTTCCCAAAGATAGGGAAATCACAACGAATAGAACCTTGTCCACTGTTGGTAACAAAATTCCGTTTAGCGTTGGCAAAGAAAGCATATCTATCTTCAAGCAAATTTTATAGTCGCATGAAAGCAAGCCATCCTTTACAAATATCTCTGACTGCAAGGAATTCTTTTACTTGTCAGTAGGAACTGTGATGTACTCAGATATATAAATATAGGGAACAAAGATTCTTCACCGTTGACTCAACTCAAAGAGAGCTGTGGTTTATTGTCGTCATAGTAACATCACAAGCTCCAATACCAAATCATGGAGGAAAAAATACAAAATGAGGCAATAGGCAAGGCGTGGCAGGGACAAATTCCCGAACAAATTCCTCCCTTGTTCAGCTACTTACTATCCAGGCTGATCCGTTGCTGATCCACCACGTTTCTCCATACTCCACCGAACCTCCGGCAAACTCTGCTGGTCTGTTGAACAAACAAACAAACAGCCCTGTTTGAAGAGCTGGAAAAAGAGAAATGGGAAGGTCGAAGGGGTGTTACTTCCAACTTGAACAAACCATTTGACATGTTCGGCAATTGGGATCGGCAGGGTTCAATGATATGGCCGGATGAACTGGGCTAGGTTTCCAACAAGAGGGACATTCCGTAAATTAGGGGTCCAAAAATCTAACATTTCTGTGTCTCTGTTACACCTTACCTGTGTAACTTGATACGGAAATATCATGGAAGTGGACATCAAACTACTTTCATTTGTTTGGCACGTAATGAACATTATTTAAGGAAAGAGGAGCAAACTTTGCCCCTTTTTCCTTCCCACAACGCCTTTCTACCATTGTGCCCAATCACCCATGCAGTATTTGCAATAAGGCTTAGCCTATGCCTTATTTCTTATGGGCAAAATAGGCTCGTTTTCTGCAGGGTTTGTTATGTTCGTGGGAGCGAGGTGGATGTTGGACCCTGCAGGCGTATCCCCTTTTAAGGAGACATTTTCTGTTTTAGGGGACTGGTTTTGTCCCAAAATAAGGGACTTCTCCGAACACAACGACAGTCCTCGAGTAGTCAGGTAGAGACGTGCGCCTCTAGGCATGCTACTTGCTAGGCTGAGTATTGCAGCGAGCTATGTCACCTACATCATGCCATGCGCATGAAAATTTTAAATGTGATTTAAAAAAAAAAGGCTGGCAAAGTCAGGACTAAATTCCCATATCATGCTTTCTAGTATTGTTCAACTTCGTGTGCAAGGCAAAATATTTCTGAAACAGCGGGATTTCTGCAAAACACTGACAAAATTGCAGAGCGAACCGCAAAACCAACCTACTCCACCGCCGACCCACGTGCAAAAGACAGAAACGAGGCTTGCGCAGCAACTTAACTCTGCGCATGTGCGCTCCATCGAGGATTTGGGGTCAAGGTTCGCACGACGTGGCTCATGAAAAGCGCCCTCATTTTGTGAACCCAGGTAAGAAACAGAGGTTCATTCTCGACTTCATTCCGCACTGTATGCTCGAGTCCTCAAGCGAAAAGATTAAGTGCGGTTTGCAGAAATAAGTCACAATTAAAGTCTCACATTCTTTTCCTACGCATTGTCAGTAATTTGGCGGCGGTCTTTGTGGATCGGCCCTTCAAAAACTTCGAGTTAAGTGGATGTAGTGGTGTAGGCATTTCAAGTTATGGAACCTAGGTTGTATAGGAGAAGCCTATTCTTTTGGCGGGAATGAAGAATGTCTTCGAGATAAGTGGAGTTTCGAGTTAACCGACTTTGAGTTATTGAGAGTTTAGTGAATTGTCAATATATTCCACAAGACTTAGATCAACAGCCATTGTAATGGAGTAAAATTAATATATCAATTATGAAATTGATATATTTTATTATTAGGCCTATGATTATTTTGTTATTATTGTGACAAAAATGTTTCTTGAGAAATATTGTAGTAATGGCTGTGTAAACTACACCAGGCTAGCGCGATGCAACGGATAAGAAATTTTACGATGGAAAATGAATATTAAAACCTAGTTGTGCTGAAAAGTTATCAAGAAATGAATATATTTCCTAATCTGGACATCCAGCATGGTTACGTTCCTGCTACCACTATTGACGGCAACATAGAACCAGACAGTGCATCCATCCATTATTTTACGTGACTTCAGGTTTCGTTCAACCACAATCTTGCCCAGAACCCTGGCACACATATCACACTTGTCACTGCCGAAGCTAAAATTCGTGCATGCGCACAAGCCGAAGTCTACCGAAGCGTGTTTGTTAACTGTTAACACGCACGCAACGTCTGGGCCCCTCCACCGGCGCGCACACGTCACGTACAAGCAGCCAAGCATGGCTGATTCGCCGCCGGAGCAGCTTGGATTCAGGGCTGTGTGGGCAGAGGGGAAAAAGGGACGTGAAGGCGGACTACCAATCAATTTAGACATGGGTCCAGTTTACGCCGTGCAAATTGAATATCGGGAAGCAGGCGATGCTGGAAGACGACACGTGAGTGCAGCGCGTTGAAAATAAGTTACAGCACTGGAGTGAAGGCCATGGTTTACCTGGTGGCAAGCATTGACAGTCTGTGTGTCCGTCTGATGCTCTTCGTGTAACCCACTGTGTGCCACATTTTCTGGTCCTTACTTACTGTTTTAATCCGATGGTAATAAAACTGGCTCTTGTATCGATGCCAGAAACAATTAAGCTCGGGGTATACAACCGCTGATGGGCCGCTGCATATTTGAGATGCTCTCTTCGGAACCTGACGACCAAATCATTTCATGAAAAGTTGATCGGCTTATCTCGGCTTTAAAAAACCAATCAGCAACTGCGACGGATTCCTGTCACCGAGTTGAGCCCTATACCGACCACAGTGCTGCAGCTTTATCTAAAGCATCGAAAGGTATATTTTGATGGTGAAGCGAACTGGTTGACAGTTGGTGCTCACGCGTGTCAATGGAAGTATCAATTACATTGTGACACTTAATAGCTTGGCTAGGCTCTGGTCGACTTCGCCTGGGACAATCCCTCTTCAGGAATTGGCGTTTGGGCAATAAGATTAAGAAACTTTTGAACAGTTCGCTTTGAATCGCTCTTTGCAAGTTTACTGCCGTCGATTCGCCGATGCAATTGTCTCTGGTACTTCGCGGTGTCCGGCGGTTCTTTATTGGATATCGTTGCCAAGCGTATGAAATTGGCGGGCAATAAAGTTTACGGAGTGGAGTTTTTTACAGTTTGAGAACCACGCGTTGTTTACGAGGGCCGCGAGTAAATAGTCGACAGCAAAATGACCGGAAAATATCTGTGAGCTGCGGGATTTACTCACTGACAAAAGGTCCCCAGGACAATCGGTGACAATAGACGGCGCCTGGAACGGGATAATACGGGCAGGAGGCCGAAAGCCTGAGAGGGAACTTACCGCTACAATCTCGGAAATAAACACTTCAATAGTCATCTTCCCAAAGAAAGTTGAACATTGATCGTTTCTAGCCGAGACCCGTACAAGGGTGCGTGGGGACATGGAGATACAAAGTTTGGGAACCGTGGTCACCACTGTCGCTTTTCTTGGTAAGTTCTTTATGGGATTCATTTCTTTCGTGTGGTGGATAATGAAAATATCTCCTACTACTGGATGGTTTGTTATCAACCATGTTGGAATGAAGGTTAAAAGTGAGATTTCCAGTGACGCTAAACTTGGTGAAAACAGTTAAATTGTCTGTTTGTTTACTGAGAAATCAAAAAAGTTTGGATTTAGGACCAGAGGGAGGGTTGGGGTATTCGGGGAACGAATTAATGAGTTGAGTATCACCCTTTGGAGACTCAAAAAATGTCACGAGCCGCTGAAAGTAAGAAAAAAATGTGCTTGTCGAATGAAATGTAAATAAAATAGAGAAATCAATTTCTGACATCACACTTTTCAAGAATTTATCTCTTCATCCCAAACAAGTTTTTGTCCATTGACCGTACATTTTTTTTGTTACAACAAAGATCTGGTAAAAGACTGTAATAGGCCCCCGTAATACTCAAAAGTCCCAGCGGATATATACGCCGGGTGGGCACAGTATATTCGGCTTGCTTTGTATAAATAATGGCGCGGTCGCGTGGGAAAGGAATACACGCACAGTGTCGCAGGAACACAATATTCCGGCCCACACCCTTGGGCCTACAAGTACCGGCCGCGTGGCCGATATCGAACATTTTTTTTTCCAGCCACCCCCCCCCTACAATCTGCAGCGCATGTTGTGTACAGCATTATGACACCTTTTTTCCCCTTCGTCTCTGAACCTCGCAGCACCGTTTTATCGTTCCTAGCTCTATGGTTTTATGAGCGGTCGTTTGAGCTCGCTACGGGGAAATAGGAATTTAATACTCTGTGGCCTGGCAAGTTATTGGCGTGGTTTGGGTCGTATAAGCTCAGTCCAGCAAACGGTACTCGAGATATTGAAATATCCTTGGCCGTTTGCGGCATCTACATTTCAAATTTACATTTCAATCTTGGTTTCATATCCTACTTCGGCTATGTATACACACTCGGCGTATGCCGGGGATTAATAAAAAAAATCCCCCGCAGCAATTCGCAATCCAATCTGAGATGTATCACATTTTCAGTTTACTGGAGACTTCATATTGCGGCAGATCATGAAATTGGAGAGCACAAACAAATTCTGTTTACTTTGAACATCTTCGACCTATGATTTGCGCTGGTCAGTAGTTCTTGTACCAACAAGCTATAATAAGCATATCACAGTTTTTTTACAAGCTCAGCGACCGTAAAATGCCGAGGCAAGTGGCCAAGTAGTTTGGATTGCAAAGCACGCAAGCCCCTCGGTCGTAGTTTTGACGTATTTACTGAAATGGCCTTGCCTCGTAAACTTTGATGGGGGGGATATTTGCGTTTAAAAGCACCTGTTTTGGACTGAAACTTAGTAAAATATCTGTAAACCATCCTGTCGTGTGCACTGTGATAGGGCTATGGTCGTGTCCACACAGGACGAAATTCCCACGCGCGCACGCTGGTCTTTGGCGCCAGAAATGAGCACTCTCGCAGCGAAATTATCACCAGGAAAAAAACTGACAAATGCATCAGGAGTCAAGATGGAGGACTCAGATACGGGATTGTACTGTCTCGCATTATTGATAAGAAGAATGACACTGACTAGGCTTCGGGCATCGTCGGCGGGCCGTCCATCAAAATTGGGTACTTCTCACTCGGTTCGAGATGAATAAGATGTTGTCAGTCATTCGCGTAGACTGACAGGATTATAGGGTCCCAGGCGTGATTTCTATTGTAGTTCGTGGGTTTCCTTTGGATGAAATTTTCACGATGCCTTGCTGCATTCCCTTAATTATTGACAAAATATTCGACTTTTGGAGAAAAAAGAGAGATTGCTCTTGGCTGGACAGTGGAGCCGACATTAATTATGAACAGCGCATGTGCGGGGCTTTTGTTGAGATGGAGTCTGGCAAACACGAAGTCTGGCAGAGATGCTTCAGAGAAAATGAAACTAAATTTCAACATTTTCATGTCAGTTCAGTATCACAATGTAAACAAGCGAATTCTAAAATTGAAACCAAATTGTGTGAAATTCCAGACATAATTTGCTTCGTTCATGAAAAGCCCATACCTCGCTGTTTATGGAAGATTTTGGAAAACTTAATACATGTATTTAGTGGCGGGTCCTTTTTCAAACAAAAAAATTCACAGAGGATCACTTTAAATATCAGTTTGGAATTCATCATCCAAACAAAAGAGTGAAGCAGGCTGTGAAACGCCCAGAATAGGATTCAGAGAGGTACCACTAGTAATCTTGCAGGCGTGACAATTGGCGGGAAAATGCACTTTCTTCCCACCGCGGGAACACATTGCGTCGCCTTCGCACCGTGCATTCGAACACAAAAGTGATCAAATTTGCCACTCACGACAACAAAACGATAGAACTGAAGGTGGCTAGTCATAATTGAATACTTCAAAGGGAGGAAACATGGACAGCTAAAAGTCTGAATTTCAAAATGGAATTTTTTTCAGGTTGTGAAAGTATATTGGATACGCGATGGCATGGGTAAACGGCTCATGAATATTCATTTTGATGCAGAAAGTACAGATGCCTCGAACCGGGATGACTGTCGCACAGAACTATCAATCGGTGGTCTTAATTACTGCCGTGAAGAAAATCTCACAGCAAAACAAATTCTAGATGCGTAGGGTGCCCGATGTAAGATTGGCATTTGTTGTAATATATAATCAGTCAGTGGACACCTCCTCTATCTTGATGAATCTATTCGGACAGTTTCTGTCAATTAAATCAAATACCACATGCCGATAACGAAATGATAAATTATATAACGAAGTAAACAATATTCATATTTGACACTATACATGTACATGTACTCAGCTTCAATCTGGTCTCCGGGATAAAAACTAGTTCATAATGACGTGTCCTAGATCACGAGCGTAGTTACGATCGACGTTCGCAGACAGTGGTCGTGTCTCGTCAAGCTGCATGTGCTGAAATATGTCGTAGGGGTATAAGACAGAATCATTAATTTGAAAGCAGCATCTTGAACACCGTCAAAAGAATCGATAGTTTTCCCAGCTCACTCAATCCTCGGCAAATAATGAGTTTTGGAGTCTAGTAATTGATAGGGCTAATCTGCGGTGAGATGACAAAGGCGGCTTATAAACCTTGCCGACAAAAACCAGATGATCGAACAGTCCAACTAATGCCTTCAGAAGCCGGCCTGTGAAATCGAACAACGGTACATAGCTCCACTTCCTCGCACGAAATATTTTGTTCAGGGAAAGGTTAAATCCTGAACTTTTTATACCGATGTATTTATTAAGAATTGTATTAATTTATTATAGCAGAATATACAGGTCTGACAAAGTTGCTCAGAAATTCAATTTCGAAAATTAACTTGAGTCGCAACAGAAATCATATCAAAATTCCATTCACTATTCCCAGGACACGACGTGAAACTTGGCCAAAATGCATGACTGGTAGTGCATCATGAGAGCAGTGAGCAATGGTCGTGCACCAACTGGGCATGATCTGTCGTGTGTCCAGGACACCAAAATTGCCAGATGATACCAAAAATTTGTCAAGTTGAGAATAAAAAAGGTTTTGCCTGGAAAAGGTTACTCTTCAGAACCGAATTGCTTTTTCGGTTAGAAAATCTCCTCAGCACTATATTTTATGCTAACTGACTAAACAATATCACACCAGACGTCAACTCTCGTAATCAAAATTTCTTTACTTTTAGTAATTGTTTTAGAGTTCTGCCCCTCCCTTGAAAATATATTAAACAATGAGAAAAATTCATGGTTAACGTTGTTCCCTGTACCATCGATTTTTTCCTCGTGAAGCACCCGAAGTGTCTTGTTCCACACATGTTCTCCTTTATTGCGTGTGAAACCGCTAATATCAGAGGCCAGGACGGTTGGTTAGAGCAGCCCGAACGCGGGTGATGTCTTATCGAACGACTTGTGCCGGAGGCCACGCTAATTGGTCCCTGGCCTCGTGCTGGCTAAAATGGAGCACGGTTTGGCACGTTTCTCAAGTTGGCAAGGCAGATGCAAAATGCGAGTGCCGCTCGCTGTGTGTGCGTGAGTATATGGCTGGTTAGCCTTTTTGTCTTCTTTTGGTTCGGACAGTCGAGCCCTACGTCGTCGGAGAACGGCAAATACATTTCTCTTCAGGGGAAATGAAATTTTCAAATCGTGTTGTGGGCGGAACTGCAGAAGCAGATTATGTAGTACTTGTTTTCTTGACTGTGCTGCACGCAAGCAATCAGTTCAGACAGAGAATTCAAATGAATCGCTTCCCTGTAAAAATTTAATTGTAGTGCATAGTTCAGACCTTGGTTCGTTTGATAGCTACACTTTTTTTTTTACTGTACACAAGACGGCCTTAGCATTTAGAACACTAAGCCGCAGTTCAGGTACAAATTTTACCAACCAACCTGCTCGCACAAAATGTAACTACATATACTTAAAAAGCTAATCTAGGAGTTCCAACAAGCATGTATTTTCTGCATAAAACGTCCAAATTATCGTGTAAGGTGATATAATGTTGAATTCGAAAAATTAGACAAAAACTCAAACTTATATATTCTCCAAATTGTGATTTACGGCATTCGTGTGTATAATTATTTCTCATGATCAAACACCGCCAATCCTGACCCTTTGTCGTCTTTACATCCTAAGACATTCCCTTCGGAAGCCCAAACAATTCTCTCGAGCCTCGTCCAAGGACCAACACGCACTGTCAGACACGCGCGTGCCCGCCGCGACCGTTACGAGCGACATCCCCATCAACCGACCGGGGTACCCCGCCGTGTTTTCATTCACAACAACCCGGGGACGCGTTCGTGAGAGACTGAAAAGGCTTAGCGAGGGGTAGAGTTGGCCGTCCGGACGGAAGGAATAATTGTGATATTAATGCATCAGTCTCCCCCAACTGCTCAACGAAGAGCAGAGGTGGAGAAACATGTGGGAGCTGCGACGCTTTCGGGAATGCAAACAGTCAGAGCATGTCTGATAGTAAGCGGCAATAGCGGTTTACCAGTCTTGTGCTCTGCGTGCATTCTCACCTTGTATCACAATCTCGGGCTGCACACGTATTTTACCGTTCCACACTTTTGACGTGTGAAATGCGTATCGTACTTTAAATTGAGTTGTGTTTTGAAGGGTGTTGCTGAATAAAAAGTATAAACAGGTTTGCAGAGCTTAATAGATACGTAACACGAGCAACGTGTGCCGAACATGGGGAAAATGACTTAGAAGAGATTACCAGCTGAAAAGGCAACAAGTTGTTTGAGAATTGCCATCAGCTGATTTCATCCACACTGCATAGGTTAACGAAAAAAGACAGTATTTCCCATTTAGAAACTTTTGGACAAGAGAAACACACTTGTACACGAAAGATGCAGGAAGTCATTTTGTTTGTTTGTGAGAAATGCTCATTTCCAATGCACGCACTACTCCTATGCTCAGTGAAACGCCAATTCGAACGAACACGTCTAAGCGATTTAAATCCAAGGTTTGTGCTCTGTACTTTCTACATCTACACAGCTCTCTGTGGTCTAGCATCCGCCGGGAACCAGCTGGACGGCCATATCGTGAGGGCGCTGTCGGAGTCCGAGTGCGGGGCTCAACTGCGGCGTCTCCAAGGCAACGAAGGGGTATCGGCTGTTGTGCCGCCCCGCCTCAAGGGCGAGTGGGTGTCTATGAGGTAAGTACAAGTCTCCCCTGACTCTGCAATTCCGAGGTAAAGCATCACAAATCCGGAGCCAATGTGACCCATCATGGCCAGTGATTATCTCCCGGTTCCAGTACCGTGCATGAAGCACCTGACTATATTTCTGTTCATCTGTGGATGG